ACAAAGCTTGTCCACTCCTACAGACTTGTTACGTCAGTTAGACTAAAGGTGGTCGACTTTTACAGACTTGTTACATCGGCTAGGACAAAGCTAGTCCACTCCTACAGACTTGTTACGTCAGTTAGACTAAAGGTGGTCGACTTTTACAGACTTGTTACATCGGCTAGGACAAAGCTAGTCCACTCCTACAAACTTGTTACGACGGTTTAACAAGAGCTTGTCAACTCCTAAAGACGAGCTACGTCAGTTGGACAAGAGTTGGTCCACCCATGTTGACTAGTTACGTCAGTTTGAACAGAGCTTGCCCGCTTCTACAGACAAGTTACTTCGTGCAAGCATTAATTGATTTGTTTAATGGTGTCAGGCTAGAAATGTTGCACCATTACGTACCACACTATCTGAAATCAAACTGTTTTTGACGATCAGTGGAAACACTACTAACGATATCAATTTCGATTTCCACACATGAATACATGTGAGAACCGATGTACTACTAACATATTCAAGTTATACCGAGATAAAAATCATTCTTTTGTTTTATAAAATATGAGGTTGGTTTGTTTACATAACTTTAGATATTTGAACAAACAACAAACACACATATTGTGAGTTAACTATTATATGTCACCAAAACTGCATTAGAAACAAGTTTAGATGTTCCTTAAGAATATCATCCCATTAATTATTTTAATTATTCAAGTAACACGTTCCGCGGGTTAGGTATGTCATTTACAACCACAATTTGATAACAGTAGAGTCAGCTTGACGTCAGCCTCAGTTATGTAGTGAATCATATGTCCAGTATGTACATATACTAATCTATCGTAACAGGATGGCTACAACTTAAACTGGATAATCGAGGGTTGGTGCAACAACAGTCAGAGTTATGCTCACGTTATAAACTATATTTTACGTGCGGTTTCACTATTTGTTATCTGCTTGCATTGTGGAGATGATAAGTAGCGTTATTAATAGACATTGTTGATGACTCTATCACCTGAGATGGTCGTGATTTTATCACTGTTACACGATAAACTATCCCAAGATAATATGTCTGCCAGTTTGCAGAACATCATTATCTAAACAAACATGTATCATAATACTATAGACCACTGTCCCTGCAAATGTAGACAAGGACTGGAGCATTGAGACATATACATGTGTTTACGTGCGTTTCTTACATTCCACGATACTTGTACATAGAAATACATTCGCGAGTAGAGAGCGGGTGAGGGAGGAGACACAGGGGGAGTGGGGCGGTCAGATGGCATTTCTAAAAACATATGTACAGTCACTCGGGGAGGGTAAAACACATATTTTCAAAGGGTAATAAAATAGTTGTCAACAAAACAACACATGAAAAGTGGTTCTGCACACTTAGGAGATAATTATCCTTATCCTGAAGGCTGCACCCACGAATGTATACTTAATTCTGTCCTTTAAAGAGGCAAGTCTAGATAAGCGGACAGTATAAGGATGCTAGTCTGTCAGATTTTTATATTGTTTAGAAATTATCGTTTAAACTATTAATTATTACCTTATTACTTGTGCAAGTCTAACTTATCCTATAAATCATGTGCTGTCCCTTATGTGTACTTGGCATTGATTTCCAGGTTTTTAATTACCATTTAATGGAGGGGTAGTGGGGAACCTGTGGGGTGTTTACTTTTAAATTACACATATTTTCCCAACATTACCATCCATAAACCAAAAAAATTCTACCTTCACTTTTCTGGCAGCTGAGAAAGGAATGGAAATGGATACTTATTCGTGTTTCTGTAATCACAAACAAATATAACATTGCTTGAATCCAAACCCAAATCAAATCTGCAATGTCGGCTTTGAAAACTGATAAATGCACCCGTAAAATCTCCGAAACCGCTCCACGATCGAAGCAGTAGTCCGTAAATGAAACATCAGAGAACAATATAAACCTAATTAGTTCCTCCTCTGATTATAACATGTAAATAGCGGATAAAGGCAGAACATCGTAAACTACCACACGTGTATAAAATATAAATCACTATCGATACTTTGAAAATAATGCATGCTTTAGAAAAAAATTGTTGTTTAGAAAAAAACGAATGGTAATTGTTTTGTTGACTTTTGCTGTTTATGTTTTTCTTTCTAACCTATTCTAAATTGTAATTAATGAGTAATTCGGGATCACAAGTGGTCTATAATTTAGGCGTGCCACAAATGAGGGTTTGAATCCCTGTTCGACAAAATCATGTTTCTTCGTTTGTCGGCACCATTCCTGTGTTCGTGAGTTTCACCAGACTTCTAAGACATCCATCCAAATTTGAGCTATTATCGCATACCAAACAGACAAGCTTTGATATAACTGAAATTCTGTTCAAATAAACGCACTCACTCACTCATTCCAAATTAAGTGACGAGAGGTAATCCATCTATTTCAAACTTTACGAATGTACTTTTTAATTGGATGTCATTGCAAACTGTTGGATCAGTTTTACTGTTAATGCAGTGAAACTTTGTAAAATGATCATATCAGATATTAAAAATACAAAAAGTATTAATTTTTACATAAATGAAGTAAACAACGGTCTGGTATTGACAATTATATAATAGATCTTGTTCTAAGTTTGGTATAATAATATAAACCCTCTTATTTTGTTTCGATCATACGTTTGGTATTCTTTATTGCATGTAAATGTTTATTAGTTATATATGCTCTACCACACAATCAATTGTCGTGGGATGTTTCAGTTCAGTGACATACAATCCGACTGCACACGGAATAATACGAGAAGTAGCAAGTGCGTGAAAGTATCATTGTTTTTCATTGGATAGTGTTTATAGCCTATCCAATCAAAATATTTCTCTTATGCGTGCTCTATCCCGTGAGGAGATAACTCGCGGAAGGTCAATATCTGACTGGAGCTGGGTTCGATTTGAGGACATTTACGTGTGTTGGAAAGAATTTTGAAGTTGGTTATCAGTAAACTGTAATTGTATCTGTTGACCATACAAAGGAGAAGTCGTCCTCGGATGTGGATGAGAGTCAACCCAGACAGTTCGACAGGTGTGTAAGACAGAGCGCGAGCAGTATGGCAGTGAGGTTCGCTCAGCTGCTTCTGTCTGAGATAATATTAGTGAATTTAGACACGTTTAGTTCGCATGATTTAATTCAGAGTGCTTGGATATGTAACAGTATTTATTTTACAGGAATAGTCATTGAATACCAGTTGCTGTGGTTATTTCCCAGCAAGTCTTTCAGTGAATGTTTCACATTTTGCCGAATGTTATGTTGTAATACTGTCAGAAACAACTTGTAGAAAAATCAATGACTGTGAGTCAGAGGTAGGATGCCTTGAATTAAAAAATGTTCTGAATATGTTCCAACATAGCTACTTGTGGAGCGTGATTTAATAGCAGTCAGGTTAGTATCACCAATCAATTCAGGAACAGGATGAACCCTTGGGCTCTGCGCTTTTCACCCCATCATGGCCATGCCCAATAATCATGATCATTATCCAGATTGTGTCTCAATGCTTCTGTTCGAATTACACACTACTGGTCAAATGAAACATTACCCATAAATATATCACACATTGTGATGTGAGCATTTTTGTCATCCTTCATTCTTACTGGTCTATACTCGATGCACATTATGTAGACATACATGTTTCACCATTACAGATGCCGTGTACAAACACAAAATTAAGGCACGATATAATATTGAATGCATGACTAATCTGTATGTGCAAGTAATTTATTTTTGTTGATGCACATCATAGATTATTCATCATGTTCGAGGAATATTGCTGAGTGCGACATTAACAACAAACCAACCATCATAGGATGACAAACTGTTTGTCGTCCAAAACCATTCTTCCAACTTTTTCAGTTTGCAAGCCATGGTAAACAGTGATTGTTTTAATGGAAAAGATATCAGTGATGTCATATTGTTTAGATGTCATAACCATGTTGTCAAAATGTTGTCTGCAAGGCATCGTGATGCAACTCACAGACCAATCTCACCCTAGCACTGTCTTCTGTGGGATAAGTCCCTGATGAACATAGTGAAGATGTTTAATATTTCATCATATTCATTAGTTTGCATGGTTTTAGGCGGTCACTAACGTAGTCGTTAGTGTAAATTCATCCACTACCCATCAAATATGCTTCAGTCTCAACTGCTTTGTCCCAAGTCTACAATTGATTCTTCCCCATGTTCAGCTCCTGACCACTGACAGTGACATCTTAATGCATGCAACATTGAATGAGTAATGCAGTGTTCCTTTTGTCCAAGGTATCATTCACTATCATCAGCTGATCCACATTTTCCTTTACATACACTCAAATATTTACTGACCACCGTGATAAAGCTGGAAAATTGCTGGGTTCGGCTTTAACATGTTCTATCAACAATCAAACTTTATATTGTAACATTTGACTATTTGACATATATCACATCACATGTATCTCTCGTCACGATATGGCTGCAATATTGCCGATGTGACGCTAAATAATAACTCACTCACTCACATGTATCTCATGGATGTTGTTTAGTAACGTGTGTGGTATGGACTGTGTACCAATCCATCGAGCAATAGTCAGCAGACCATGACCAGTGTTTCATTTCAAAGTGTTTTGGTCATTTATAGTTATTGTAAATGGTATTACAGTTTACATATACTGTGGAGACATCTGCTTGCCTTATTCAAATAAATTACTGTCACAGATTCAGCAATTCTGTTTATAGGTGATTTTACAGTTTCAAAACTATTTGTCATTATGCAACATCAGTTATCAGTTTCTTTAAGGAAAATAGTTTTTTGTAACACACTTTGAAAAAAAGCCTTATTTGTGCCGGCTTATTGTCAATTCTGTAGATTGATGCTCATCATGTGAGTCACAGGATTGTGTGGTCCAGACTCACACTGACTTCACATAGATAGAATATCGCTGAATGAGGCTTGAAACAACAAAATATGAACAGCAGTATTATTATCATGATAAAACATGTTGGTCAATCTGACTGTTGTTATGGGGACTCTACAACTCAACTTTATGATCATCAGAGTCATCATGTTCCACCATTTCTATCAGAGTGAGTGAGGTTTTATGCCACTTTTTCAATATTTCAACAATATTATGTCGGGGGACACCAGAATTGGGCTCCGAACCCTCACCTTCAGAGTCAGGCACCTTTATGGCTATCGATCCTTACAGTCAAGTCGTTAATTGTTCTGAAAGTAAACAGAAAAAGATGAATAGAAAGCCTGCAATCAGTCATCCAACAATCACAACAATCATATAGAAGAGGGTATGTTGAGAATAGGGATAGATGAGTGCGTGAGTGAGTTTAGTTTTACGCCACACTTAGCAATATTCCAGCAATATGGCGGCGGTCTGTAGTAATCGAGTCTGGACCAGACAATCCACTGATCAGCAGCATGAGCATCGATCTATGCAATTTGGATACAATGACATGTTTCAACCAAGTCAGCGAGCATGACCACCTGATCCCTTTAGTCACCTCTTACAACAAGCCTGGGTTACTGGAGACCAATTCTAACCCGGATCTTCACAGGTATCTGGATTAAAGAGGAAGACGGGAAGCATATTAAGGAGGGTATGTTGAGACCTGATAGATCATGATGAGCATAGTTAACATGGATAGTGATGTTTGAATGAAGTGTCTATAACCTGTTTACCTGTGCCGAAACCTTTACACATGAGATACATTTCAAATAATGCATGACATAAAACTCATTGTGCAAGTGTCATGCAATACCTGTATCACCAATGGACATATCTAATCAGGTCATTGCTGCCCCATCAGAGGTAACTAACCAGATTTGATGCCCAGCTGATGCTTGTCTTCGTATCCCAAATAGGGGCAGTGGGGTAGCCTTGTGGTTAAAGCGTGTGCTCGTCATGCCGAAGACCCGGGAAGATAAAGTCCTGGGGCTCACATCAACTTGGTTGAGTGTTATCGTAGCCCTATTACATGGATTGATGCTCATTATATAAATTGGGGCAGTGGGGTAGCCTAGTGGTTAAAGCGTTCTCATGTCACACCGAAGACCCGGGTTCGATTCCCCACATGGGTAAAATGTGTGAAGCCCATTTCTGGTGTCCCCTGCCATGATATTGCTGGAATATTGCTAAAAGCAGCATACCCACTCACTCACTCACTTGTATCCCAAATGCATAGGTTAATCATTACCCTAATCAGTGGGTTTTCTGTCCCAGGCTCAATTACTGTAAACATACTTTTTTTCGCTTGGTGCAAATTTCGCGGAATTGACAGTTTAGACTACATCGCGCAGTCAATTATTCACGCAATCAGTAATTGCCGGAACTGCCAGCTGTCTCTTAGGCCGCCACTAATAGCAATGAAAACAACCAGAGTGGCTTAACCTGTCAGGCGGCGTGTATTGCTTACTCACAGGAAATTCCTACCTGCGCGATATATACAGTAACACATTTACTCACGGAAGTATTAGGCACTTAGGAAGTGAGATATAGTGATGCAAATATAAAGAGATGAAAAATACATCAGTCTTATGTTCCAAATTCTGACAATCCTGACGATGGCATTGCGACTGACTGAGTTTGGTTTTACGCCGCTTTTAGCAATATTCCAGCAATATCACGGCAGGGGACACCAGAAATGGTTAAAGAAAGCACCTACCCCCAAGACACCTGGACTTCCAGATCCAAATGATTGCAAAGATGGTACTGAGGCCGAAGTCGTAATCGCTGCAAATGCTGCCGTAGATCTACTCCAGGAATAAATGGCGACAAGTGACACATCATGTGACCCATCATTCCATAAAACGAAACGTGGGGAATACAGTAATTACGATGCAGAAGTACAGGCGAAAATTGCTGTGTATGCGATTGAACATGGTGTTATGAAGGCAGCCCGTAAGTTCTCTTGTGAACTGAAGAATAAAGTCAACAGATGTACTGTCCGTAGTATGAAAGCCAGTTTCTTGAAACAGCAAAGTACTAGTAAAACAGCAGAATCTCCACGCTGATTGGTTAAGGCTGTCCGAGGTCAGAGGCCAAAGCTGGGTCAATACGAAGACAAGATTAAGAACTGGGTGAAAAAAACAAGATTGTCTGGTGGTGCTGTTAGCACAAGAACATTGCTTGCAGCAACTGATGGAATCATGCGAAAACGTCACAAATCTGTGTTGAAAGAATTTGGTGGACATGTTGAGTTGACTGATTCCTGGGCTAGATCTCTTCTACGATGCATGGACTTTGTTAAACGCAAGGGAACTAAAGGTGTGAAGAAGCTGCCGTCTGATTTCGCCAACATCAAAACAGAGTTCCTGAATCGAGTACAGAATGTCATCGACCAGAATGCCATCCCCGATAAACTACCGTAGTCATCAACTGGGACCAGACTGGCCTCTCTCTCCTTCCTGGTGGTGACTGGACCATGGAAGAACGTGGGACGAAACAAGTGACCATCTCAGGCATGGAAGATAAGTGACAGACCACTGATCTACTTTCAATGACCAAGTCAGGTGATTTGCTGCCCCCTCAGCTGATCTACGCTGGAAAATCAGACCGATGTCATCCATCCATCAACTTTCCTGCTGACTGGGACATCACACATACAGAATCACATTGGAGCACCGAGGAATCCATGCTAAGATTTGTGGAGAAAGTCATCAACCCCTATGTTGTAGCAACACGTAACCACTGTGATTAGACCCCGATCACAAGGCATTATGCATCTTTGATGTCTACCGAGCTCATCGTACGGACAGTTTGCATGAACTCCCACAAGAGGTGAGGTGAAATTGGGTTTAGCGTCGTGCTTGGGAATATTTCGCTCATATAATGACGTGCATGCGTGTGTATGTGTATGTGCGGCTGCTTGTACTAGCCCAGACTTAAGCTAGTTTTATAGTGCTAGCCCACTGAGATACCATGCCGCAGTGAAGCATGAATACCCCACTCAGACACATTATTCTGACTCCGAGCCCACCAGTCCTTGTACCCATTAATGCCGAGAGCCAGGCAGGGACCAACAAGTACCATATTTTAACGTCTTTTGGTATGACGCAGTCGGGAATCGAACCTGCGACCTTCCGCTCTCTGGGCGGACACTCTAACCACTACACCACGGAGGCGGTCAACCCCTACAAGAGAAGAACATTTGTTTCCTGTACGTCCCAGCCGCCTGTACTGACAAGCTGCAACCACTTGACCTGGCTCTCAACAAGAACTTTAAGGGCGAAATCAAACAGTGCATCCACGAGTGGTATTCCAGTGAGGTTGTGCGACAACTTGACGAACAAGAGGATGCAGGGAATGATGATGCAGTGTCTGCAATCTCAGCGTCATTAAGCCTGTTCACGGACAATGGATAGTCAAGGCCTTTGACACCATGTCAGAGAGGAAAGACCTCATCCAGAGCGTTTTCAAACAAGCTGGGTTGTTGTTAATGTGATATTTGATGTGTAAATTGACTCTCAAGGAAATGAACTTCTATCGTATATGAAGTTTTTGTGATTTCAAACAAGCTGGGTTGTTGTGAATGTGATGATTGATGTGTTAATTGACTATGAAGGAAATGAACTTCTATCAGATATGAAGTTTTTGTGATTTCAAACAAGCTGAGTTGTTGTGAATGTGATGATTGATGTGTTAATTTACTATCAAGGAAATGAACTGCTACCGTATATGAACCTTTTGTGATTTCATTTCGTGATATGCAGGAATAAATATAAATAAAATCTTAATGAATAAATAAAAATAATGCTGTATTATTTCTTTCTGAGTCGTTTCATGGTAATCCGTTTTGTATCAAACCATCTGTCACTACGATTGGTCAAAATAGAACATGTGACCAATTGCAATGTGACACATTGCTGTTTTCGCTAATTCGGCAATAGGATTTGGCTCATTATTTATTTTTGGGACATGATTTGGGAAATCCATTACGGCGACAGTTAAGTATGATTCTTTATGCTACTATCAGTTGTCATTTTAAGATTCCCATAGATTCTGTCTTCAAATTTGATGTGTTATGATAACAACTCAGAGAGCGTGGGTAGAGTGAATGATTGAAAGGTTTATTCGCTGTGTATAAATTTTCGCGGTAAAATATTTTGCGCGAAAATAAAACCTGCGCGATATATAATACGTTTACAGTATTGATGAGAAACGACCTGGTTCAAGGGAGAGGGAAACTAGCAAGAAACAAGTTCTGAGATTACTGTCCAACATTTTGTGAGCAATATGTGCAATAGTGTTTGGAGCTCAACCCATCATTTCATTTTGACCAATATTACCAACAGAAAACAGTACAGGATGTGCATAAACAATGATGAAGTCTGTCCTTGGGGTAGGGTTCATTTGATTTCCTTCTCCTGAACACAGCTTCATTTCATTTCTCAACTAAAGGGATAATTGGCCAGCTAAGCTGTTAAAGCATTTGCTTATCACACCTGGTTCATTTCCCCAGAGGCAGTGGGGTGGCCTAGTGGTTAAAGCAGTCGCTCGTCACGCTGAAGGCCTGGGTTCGATTCCCCACAGGGTACAATGTATTTGAAGCCCATTTCTGGTGTCCCCTGCTGTGATTTTGCTGGAATATTGCTAAATGCGGCGTAAAACTATATTCACTCACACACTCATTTCTTTAGATGGGTGCTATGTGTGAAGCCCATTTCTGGTGTCCCCGCCATGATGTTGCTGGAATATTGCTAAAAGCGGCGTAAAACTATATTCACTCACCCACTCATTTCCCCAGATGGGTGCTATGTGTGAAGCCCATTTCTGGTGTCCCCGCCGTGATGTTGCTGGAATATTGCTAAAAGCAGCGTACAACTATATTCACTCACTCACACATTTCCCCAGATGGGTGCTATATGTGAAGCCCATTTCTGGTGTCCCTGCCATGATTTTGCTGGAATATTGCTAAAAGCAGCTCACACACTCATTCAATTGTGACTAAATATTGAGACATGATTGCGTTACAAAGTGTTTGTATGTAATTTAGGGGGGATTGATTATGTTAACCTGTGGGTTATTGTATGTATTGCGTTGAAGTTTGTATTGCAAGGTATTGACATTATGATAGGTATTGCAGTATGTTGTCCTGTACATCCTCATTTGGTCCTGATATGTCCTTGACGTTTGAATGCATTTCATTTATTCCATAATGACCAAAATAGCACCAAAGTTCAGCTTCTGTCCATGGTCAGCCAAGGTCAGCTGT